AACTTCAAAGCATTCTTGAATGCTTGAATATCAGTCAGCGTCTGCAGAAAGCCCTTATTTTGCTGAAAAAGGAGCTCGTGAATGCTGAATTGCAAAGCAAAATCAGCAAAGATGTCGACTCCAAAATTCAGCGTAGACAGCGTGAATACTATCTTATGGAGCAGCTTCGAGGTATCAAGCGCGAATTAGGCCTGGAATCTGATGGCAAGGAAAACCTTATTGAAGAGTTCCGGAACAAAGCTAAGTCTCTCGCTATGCCAGAAACTGTGAAAGCTGTTTTTGAAACAGAACTCAGTAAATTGTCTCATCTGGAAACAGCAGCCTCTGAATATAATGTTACTAGGAATTATCTCGACTGGTTAACTTCGGTACCTTGGGGCCGCCGATCCGCTGAAAATTATGACATAAAGCATGCTATTGATATCCTCAATGAAGACCACTACGGTTTAGCAGATGTGAAAGATAGAATACTGGAATTCATTGCTGTTGGGAAGTTAACTGGCAGTGTGGAAGGTAAAATCCTCTGCTTTGTTGGACCTCCGGGTGTTGGTAAGACTTCTATTGGAAAGTCCATTGCAAGAGCACTTGATCGTCAATTCTATCGATTTTCAGTTGGTGGACTTGGTGATGTAGCCGAAATCAAAGGTCACAGGAGAACTTATGTTGGCGCTCTCCCTGGTAGGGCTATTCAGGCTCTGAAGAAATGCCAAACAGAGAATCCTCTTATTCTGATCGACGAAGTGGACAAAGTTGGTCGCGGTGGACAGGGAGATCCTGCCTCTGCGTTGTTAGAACTTTTAGACCCTGAACAGAACAACAGTTTCTTAGATCATTATCTGGATGTCCCTGTTGATATGAGCAAAGTACTATTTGTTTGCACTGCCAATAGCACTGATACCATTCCGAGGCCTTTACTTGACCGTATGGAACTGATTGAGATTTCTGGATATGTTGCTGATGAGAAAATGGCTATTGCGCGAAACTACCTCGCACCTGCCTCTAAGAAGAGCAATGGTCTAGAAAGCGCTGATGTTGAACTTACCGATGATGGTATTGCAGCTCTCATCAAGAGTTACTGCCGTGAAAGTGGTGTTCGCAACTTAAAGAGACAGATTGACAAGATCTATAGAAAAGCAGCACTTAACATTGTGAAAGAATACGGTGACGTGTTGACTGAGGAAGATAGCCTCACGGATGAAGGTAAAGAAGCCAAGCTTCGCGAGGAAGAATCTGCATCTGCTCAATCTAAGGAAGCAGTTTCCGAAGTTACGGACGCCGTTTTCTCTAGCGAGGAGTCGTTGAAGGAAAGCCTGAATGATGCTTTGAACAAGGAACTCGATGATAGTTCCGAGCAAGAGACAGTTTTCACAGCAGAGAACCCTAGAAAGCCTCTGAAAGTACCCGATTCAGTCCACCTGAAGATTGGAGAGTCTAATATTTCGGATTTTATTGGACCTGCTATTTTCACGAGTGATCGTCTTTATGACGTAACCCCTGTTGGTGTCGTTATGGGTCTTGGCTGGACCACAGTAGGAGGAATGGCGCTGTATGTTGAGTCGATTCTGGAATCACCGCTTTCGTCTAAATCTCGACCGTCGTTTGAAAGAACTGGCACGCTTGGGCCAGTTATGAAGGAATCTAGCACTATTGCATTTAGCTTTTCACGGAATTTTATGACCCAAAACTTTCCAGAGAATTTGTTTTTCGAGCATGCCCGAGTTCATTTGCACTGTCCTGAAGGAGCGACGCCTAAAGACGGTCCGTCTGCGGGTGTTACTATGGCCACCTCGTTACTCTCTTTGGCATTGGATACGCCTATTTCTCCTACTGTCGCCATGACTGGAGAATTGACACTTACTGGTAAAGTGTTACGAATTGGAGGGCTCCGAGAGAAGACAGTAGCCGCGAAGAGGTCAGGAGCCAACACGGTTTTCTTCCCTGAAGGAAACATGGCCGACTGGGATGAGCTTCCAGATAATGTCAAAGAAGGAATTGAAGGAGTTCCTGTTGGTTGGTATTCTGATATTTTCAAGAGGCTGTTTGCTGACCTTGACGACCACCGTGCTAGACACGTATGGGATAGGTTCTTTGAGGAGAAGAAGAAAGACGAATTGGATATGTCTGCGATTCCACTTGATGGTCCGAACACTCAGATCTCTACTAATCTTTAAATTCTGTGACGAGCTTCATTGTATATAAGCACATTCAATAATACTATTATAAGAATCCTGGACATTGTAGATTATCTCGTTGCTATGCAAATGTTGTCCGAGAAACACTGAATCTTTCACCTACCTTCGACAATGCTGCCGAGGCTGATCCGACGGCATTTTATCGGTTCACTGAGATTTGTACATACTAAAAATGCGTTCTTTGAGAAGATAATAGCCAGTAATAAATATTGTCCAAGCTGCGGCACGCCGTTCCAGCTAGATCGACCAGGATCAGCAGGATACCTGGTGGAACCCAAGTCGAAGCTGCCTAGTCGATCTAGTGAAAAATACGCGTCTCTTCTCAAATCGCTCGACGACGACGGCAAACGGCTGCTGCTGTATCCGGTTTTTGGCGAGGAAAACGTACAAGATGTCGAAATTGTCACAGAGCCCGACAGAGCCCAAACTCAGCATGAACCTGCTAAAACAGTGATCTGCCAACCGTGCCATAATGCTATATATCAGAGCAATTTCGAGATAGGCGAGTGTGTTGAATTTTCGCAAATTCTTTCGCTGTTAAGCGCTGACCCCAGTGGCCGAGTGGTCCACCTCATAGACGCTTACGACTTCCCACTGACTATGTTACCGCTGCCGCCAGTGATCGCACGCAGAACAACGTTTGTCATTACACGAGCAGACTTGCTAGACGATCTCCCGAAAGCGAAGGCGCACTTACGTCAGTATTTCAGATCGTATATACGACAGAAATACTCCTTTGTGGCCGACGAGAACATTATCATGTCGTCGAAATACAAGTGGCCGAACACGACATGGGTGCATCTTGTGCGCGACAGTCCTAGGCTATATCTTCTTGGTATGACCAATGTCGGCAAGAGCACTGTAACTCAGCTTATAAGAGAAAAGGTCAAGGCGCCGGTCGCCGCACAGCAAAAAGCGTCAAGTCTCCTGCAAGGACTTTGGGATCAGGCCGAAAACAGCAGACTCGGCGCTAGCCCGATTCCACGGTTCACGAAACAGATTAGAGAGTTCAGAATACAATTGAACAACTGCAAAATATTCGACCTCCCCGGCATAGAAACGCTCGTCAGCCCAGGAAACAGCGTGTGGGAATACATCAAGCCTGAGATGCTGAAACATGTGATGAAACCAACACCAAAAAAGCTGTGGCGGCGCGAGCACAAGTCTCTGAAACCAGGACAATGTTTGAACTTCAGCGGTCTGTTCCATGTAGTGCCGCGAAATGAACGGCTCGTCGTATGGAATGCATTAACTGCTCTGAACTTCTATGTGGCATCAAACCATGAAAGAGCCTTAGAATCACAAATCAACGACCCTGATGCGCTTCAGCTGTTTACAAAGCCAGAAGTTGGAGAAAAAATGCTGCACGATTGCCAGAAGAAAACTATACGAGTGGGTCCAGGAGGTATCGATCTGGTCGTAAGACATATGGGATTCTGCGAGATCCGAGTCACAGGTAAAGTGCCTGAAGGCGGGGCCCTTGTTGATGTATATTTCCCGAAAGGATTGGTATTAGGCATTCGAAGACCTGTTTTTCCTTTCCTTGTACAGCAGTCCAAAGAATCCCTGAAAAGCAAGTACGAATGGCTTGAGCAAGACGGACATATAATGGATCCTGTCCTCAATCAGCAAGAATAAAAGACGCTGCAGCGCCCGCAAAAACGGCTTTTGGATTGGAAACGCTGATAAGATGCAAACCATTAGTCTGTTTCTCGTTGTTTCCGCAATTTCCATGTTCATTCCAGCCCCATGCGTAGCACTGGTTATTGATAATACACAAACCATGACTTGACCCGACAGAGAATTGCTCCACGCTTTCATCATTCGGAAACAGCTGATCAAGTACATTTTTACCCCATGACACGATTTTATTGTTGCTTTCAACGAAAACAGCAGACCAGGTAGCCTGTAGATGTGATACGTCGCCAATTGAAGGCACGTTCATGACCTCCTTCGGTACTCGGCCGTGTTGCGATATCTCGAGAACGCCGTTTTTACCAATAGTAACGTAGAAGCTACGACCGGCAGCAATATCGACAATATGCTGTGCTATTTCTGTTACACTTGATTTCTCTGAATTGCTGCCGATCACTTTCCCGTTGCCGTAATGATAGAGTCTACTGCAATGAGACAGTATCAGATGGTGTTTCATGCAGCTAGCTGTTTTCTTGATACTATCAACTTTCCCGACACACTCGAACCCAATATTTGTAGAAATATATACTTTGCCGCTTTTACAACTAACAAGCGTGTCTTCCCATCCACAAGATACATAGACGATTTGATCTGCAATATCGAACGGCACTCGCCTGAACACCACGCAGTTGCCCATTCCACCAAGCTGGCCGCAATCATCAGCACCACAACCATACAGTACCCCGTTTATAAGTACCACAGTGTGATTGCCTCCTGAGGCCACTAGCTGAATAACGCCTTCAGGAAGACCTTGCACTAATACAGGCTGATTTGAATCTTCTTCGGTGCCTATACCTAGCTTGCCACAGCTATTTGATCCTAAAGCGTACATTCTCATTGCCACACAACCAAAAATACACAGGTCTGCAAGTATTGGCAAAAATCTAACGCTGTAAAGCCTCTTAAAGCAAAAAAAGAAGTACTTGGACGACACCGGAGTCGAACCGGGGACCTCCCGCATGCTAAGCGGATGTGATAACCAACTACACCAGACGCCCATTTACAGCTTAACAACTACGCCATGTTGTATATAAACCCATAATTAATGGTTCAGGGTTAAGTAAGAGTTTTGAACAGATATACATTCTGGCCTACCCAATAGGCAGTTGCGCTGCCCCCGTAGCGTAATTGGTTAACGCGTTGGACTTCTAATCCAAAGACTGCGGGTTCGAGTCCCGCCGGGGGTGCGAATACTTATTTTTGCACGCATTTTTATTATTTGTTGTAGATTCTGTGTGTTCTTACTATGCTTATTTATTCTTCTACTTAAATCTGCTACGATGACTGTTGAGAAAACGAAAACGAAAACAAAAAAACTCCTATAATTTTTATACTATGCTACATTAAAGACTAACATCCAGAAATAACTATGTAGTGTATCTGAACAGTGGTGAGTGCTCACCCATTTGCTCAAGCTCGTCGTTAGTGTATTTAGCAAGGATTTCCGCCTTGTCCATCTTGTCACGCTTAGCGTTGATTCTCCTGAAGACAACAATATCAATGACAGCGGTGATTATACCTACACTGGCTATACCAAGCACGAAACCATAACCAAGGTGGTAGACAGGCTTCTGACTGGCAATGAAGATGTTAGAACCAACCGCACCACCAAGGTTACCGAAACAGATGTGGCAGCCTGTAGATATAGCTCTAATCCAAGGTCTGGGCAAGTTGTTGGAGTGGATAGCAATAATACCAGGGAACGAGGAGTAGATACCTATCGCAATAAGGAATAATGCGAAGAATCGAGGACCAGTTTGGTGAGGTTTTGTGGCGAGCTGAATTATGACACCGACAACCATAGTACTAAACCAACCTATGACAAAGTAAGCTCGTTGTTTGCATTTGTCAGAGATGTAAGCAGTTATTATAGTCATAATAGCAGCTGCAATATACACAGGGATGGTCATCAACTGAGCAATAGTGTTAGAGTAGCCGAGCTGGGTCATAATAGTTGGAACCGAGAAAGAGAATGCATAAGTGGCGACTGAGCAACCCCAGTACATAAGGGAATTGTTCCACATTTTCCAGTCCTTGAGCGCCGTCCATAGGTATTCCCACTTGAAGCTAGAAGTACCGAATTCACCGTTTTCTTGTTTAGCAAGGGAGTCGAGATTGAGTTTACCTTCGGCGTCGCGGATGTGGTCGACGTCGAACATGCAGCGCAATTGGAGAAGACGGGTCTCGTCATCAGTGAGCCAACTAGATCTGCCAGGGTCGTCACAAAGCATCCAGTACGAGGCAGAACCAAAGAGGGTCGTAACGATACCCTCAAGAATGAAAATCCATCTCCATCCGAGAAGACCAGCGATACCAGACATCTGGGAGATGGCGTAAGCAAGGAGACCGGAGAATGCACCAGCGATCGAGGCTGAGGCATAGAACAAACTGACACGGAACTGCATTTCGTGGCGTTTGTACCACATGGAAGTGATAGAGACGACGCCGGGGAAGAAGGAAGATTCAAAGACACCTAGCAAGACACGTGTAGTGATCAAGCCACCATATCCTTGGACTACACCCATGCAGGTCATGACAACACCCCATATGAAGATGTTGATAGAGAGCCAGATACGAGGACGCAAGACTTTCAAGATGATGTTACTGGGGATTTCAAACAGAGCGTAAGGGAAGAAAAATACAGTCAACGCGATATTGTACTGGTTGTCTGTTATGTTGAGATCCTCCTCGAGGCCGGCGAGACGGGCATTACCGATGTTACCGCGATCAAGGTAAGCGATAAGGTAGAGGACAGCGAATACAGGAATGAGGCGCCAATCGACTTTTCGTATCAACTTGGCCTCACCGGCTGCACCGAACTGTTCCTGAAGAGCTTGGTATTCGTCCCAGAGAGCTCTGACTTCTGGGTCATTGACACGGACCTCTTCATCGCTGCGTTCAATGTTCTCAAAAAACACCTTCTCTTCGCTTTTGCGTGGGGAAGAGGAGACAGACATTTTGATTGATGTTGTGAAAGTAACGAAGACAGGCGTAAGGTCGTCCTTGCTGCAGGATCTTGGAACATGAATCAACAATATTTATAATAGCTGGCGTGAGGCCAAAACGCGTGGGGGCTTGAAGAGGGGCACGCCCAGCAAGGGAACACGGAAAGCCGAGCACTTGGCATTTAGAGCTAAATTATCAGGCCAAGCTGTAGATTTTGCTAGGCCAAGCCGTACGTTTTGCTGGGCAAAGCTTTTTTTGCCTGTAGCTCACAATAGATCCCTAACCACTCAGAAACCCCGCCTGCTCTTTTAGAGATAGGAAGACTGAATTGCAGTAAGTTTCAGTGGGGGTGCTCCATTTTTTGAGTGAAAAGCAGCAAATTGGAGTGGCTCGATAAACTGCGGGGTAAACTCTACACTATGAGTAACCCTATTTGGAAAAGGCGAGTAGATTGTGATTTCAAGACCGCTCGGTCTTTATGGATGCCATAATAGAGGGAAGGATCAGCATATGATAGATCCAGACTATTGTTTGCTGTAGATGGTTTAGGACCGCAGAAAAAGAGCGTGTGATGAACGGTCAGCTGCAGTGAGGCAACAATGCTTTCGCTATCAATCCCGGACTAAGTCTGCCGAAACGGCGGGGCCGCAAACAGGCAGAAAAGCACAATAAGGCTCGTCCAGGTTTCAAAATCTAAAATATATAAGATTATTGAACCAGCACCAAATGACAGATAAGATATGCGCGATTATTCTGCAGATTAGTAGTCTGTGAGAGGAGATAGGTATTTGCATCAATACTATATGAGTCGCAGCAGAACCTGCATGTCATTCCGTATATTCCGCTCCCTAACTGTAATAAATTTTTGCGCAGCGCTGTGCCTCAGTGTTACACAGTTTAAGAGACCGATGTGGTGGCGGCCAGTGGCAGCAGGGCCCGTCGGTTGCTGGCGCATAGACATACAGCGCGCAGTATGCAAACCAGTCGCTTACTGCGACATCGGCCTCTGAAACAGCCGATTGTTGTTCACTGCAATCGGTATTGCGATCGCTGCTAGTTCAGCTGTTTTTGTTGAGATTTTCCACGTCACTAAGCATGGTATCGGCTACTAATGCCCGTTTGGGGTACGCACACTAGCTGCCTCTCGGTTGGACTACATCCAGCGCGAGCTTATTATGGAATCACCCCAAACCAGCACAGTCCTTGACGCCTCATGCGCACCAAATCGCAGTGCTTCCAAAATCAGTAATTTCTGCGAATCTTGTAGAGCAATCTGCGTATATTAAGGCCGCCGGAGTTCGTTTCCAGCACCAAATGACTCTCTGCGGTATAGTTTTCTTGTTGACCCCACAAAGGTTGGCGAATTAAAATTAGAATGTGGTTTCCCCCTTTCCCAAGTCCGGTCGCTAGTATAGCCAATGGTGAGGCTCGCTTGTTTCCGCGGACCAACCGAAAACAGAGAGTACTTGCAGTATTCAGCAAGTCAGCTGCCGGAATATAGATACGCGAAGTAATCGAGTAACTTTCCGCAGGGCTAGATCCAGCTGACTCGTCTCGACAAGAGTTTCACCGTACTTGTCAGTAGTTCGCCGATCTGTTACACGATCGCAGCTAATGCCCAGAGTTTGATCGGCACTAAACGGAATCGTCACATTGTCCAGCGTCTTCGTTTCTAGCACCCGTCTCCTAACGATAGCGCAACAAACACATTGTTATTCCATTACGGATGCTTGTGATTCGCCCATTTGCAGCTTCACCAATCAATATACCGAAGCGGGGATGCAAACTGAGCCCACATCACCCAGGCCCACCTTGCCCTCATACAGCCCAAACTCTCAAAGCAAAAAGAATCCCCTGTCCACCAATCAGGCTTGGCTATTAGCTCACTTGTCTCTCAATATTGACTGGTTCTCCCATGAATTTCACTTTCCATGGCTCCAACCCCTCCTCCACAATTCGCACCTAAATAAAGTTCTCTCAGCAAGCGCAAACAGCGTCTGGCCAGACACACTAACTCTATCCGTTCTAGCCGACCGATCATTCGCATGAGCTATTGCACCAAAATACACGTCAAAATGGTCTCGCTTTAGTGGAACTAATGCGTGCGGTTATGCAGCCCACGAATCGACGTGGTTGGTGCTGTTTAATTGTCTGAGTGGCAACCGCCCCCTGTCTCTGAGTTGCCGCCGATCACTTTCCCGTTGCCGTAATGGTCGAATCTACTTCTGTGAGACAGTATTAGATGGTGTTTCATGCAGCTAGCTGTTTTGTTGATACTATCAACTTCTCCGACGCACTCGAACCCATTATTTATAAAAATGTATACTTTGCCGCTTTTACAACTAACAAGTGTGTCTTCGCCGTCCACAATCTGGCCTGCCCAATAGGCAGTTGCGCTGCGCCGTAGCACAATTAGTTAACGCGTGGAACCTCTAATGCGAAGACTGCGGGTTCGAATCCCGCCAGAGTGCGAAGATCTACTATTCTACATGCATATTATTGTTTATTGTAGTGTCTCTGTGTTCATAGTATGCTATGGTGGTTTATTAGTAGATCTGCTACAATGATTGTTTTAAAAAAAATAAAAAAAAAACAGAAAAACGACCTATATTTTAAATAATATGCTACATTAAGCACCAGCATCCAGAAATAACTATGTAGTGTATCTGAACAGTGGTGAGTGCTCACCCATTTGCTCAAGCTCGTCGTTAGTGTATTTTGCAAGGATTTCAGCTTTGTTCATCTTCTCACGCTTAGCGTTAATTCTCTTGAAGATAACGAGATCAATGGTGGCGGTGATCATGCCTACTGTGGTAATACCAAGCACGAAACCGTAGCCAAGCTGGTAGACAGGCCTCTGACTGGCAATGAAGATGTTAGAACCAACCGCACCACCGAGGTTACCGAAACAGATGTGGCAGCCAGTAGACACAGCTCTAATCCAAGGTCTGGGCAAGTTGTTGGAGTGGAGAGCAATGACACCCGGGAATGCAGAGTAGATACCCATAGCGATAAGGAACAATGCGAAGAATCGAGGACCAGTTTGGTGAGGTTTTGTGGCAAGTTGAATAATGATACCGACCACGGAAGTAGCGAACCACCCGATGACGAAGTAAGCTCGTTGTTTGAATCGGTCAGAGAAGTAGGCAGTTACTATAGTCATGATAGCAGCTGCAATATACACAGGGATGGTCATCAACTGAGCAATAGTGTTAGAGTAACCGAGCTGAGTCATAATAGTGGGAACCGAGAAAGAGAATGCATAAGTAGTGACTGAGCAACCCCAAAACATGAGAGAGTTGTTCCACATTTTCCAGTCCTTGAGCGCGGTCCACAGGTAATCCCACTTGAAGCCAGAAGTACCGAATTCACCGTGTTCTTGTTTAGCAAGGGAGTCAAGGTCGATTTTGCCTTCGGCGTTGCGGATATGGTCGACGTCGAACATGCAGCGCAATTGGAGAAGACGAATCTCGTCGCTAGTGAGCCATCTAGTTCTGCGAGGGTCGTCACAAAGCATCCAGTACGAGGCAGCACCAAAGATGACGGTAACGATACCCTCAAGAATGAAAATCCATCTCCATCCGAGAAGACCAGCGATACCAGACATCTGGGAGATGGCGTAAGCAAGGAGACCGGAAAATGCACCAGCGAACGAGGCTGAGGCATAGAACAAACTGACACGGAACTGCATTTCGTGGCGCTTGTACCACATGGAAATGATAGAGACGACACCGGGAAAGAAGGAAGATTCAAAGACACCTAGCAAGACACGTGTAGCGATCAAACCACCATATCCTTGGACAACACCCATGCAGGTCATGACAACACCCCAGATGAAGATATTGACAGAAAGCCAGATACGGGGACGCAAAACTTTCAAGATGATGTTACTGGGGATTTCAAACAGAGCGTAAGGAAAGAAAAACACAGTCAACGCGATATTGTACTGGTCGGCAGTCATGTTGAGATCCTCCTCGAGGCCGGCGAGACGGGCGTTACCGATGTTACCACGATCAAGGAAAGCAATAAGGTAGAGGATAGCGAATACAGGAATGAGGCGCCAGTCGACTTTTCGTATCAACTTAGCCTCACCGACTTCGCCGAACTGTTCTTGAAGAGCTTGGTATTCGTCCCAGAGAGCTCTGACTTCTGGGTCGTTGACACGGACCTCTTCATCGCCGCGTTCAATGTTTTCGACAAAGACTTTCTCTTCGCTTTTGCGTGGGGAAGAGGAGACAGACATTTCGATTGATGCTGTGAAAGTTACGAAGACAGGCGTAAGATCGTCTGTTGCTGCAGGACCTTGGAAGATAAATCAGCAGTATTTATATTAGCTGGCGTAAGGCTAAGCGTGTGGGGGGCTTGAAGAGGGGCACGCCCAGCAGGGGAACGCCGAACACTTGGCATTCACAGCTAAATATCAGACCAAGCAGCAGATTTTGCTGGGCGAAGCATTTTTTTCTTGTAGTTCACAGTAGATCCCTAACCATTTCAGGGACCCCACCTGCTCTTTTAGGAATAAGAAGACCGAATTGCAGTAAGTCTCAGTGGGGTGCCTCCATTCTTTGACCGTAAAGCAGCAAATCGGAGTGGTTGAACAAACTGCGGGGTAAACTCTACAAAATGAATAACCCTATTTGGAAAAGGCGAGTGGAGTCTGGTTTACCAGCCGATCGGTCCTATTGGATGTCATAATAGAGGGAAGATTCAGCATATGATCGATCGAAACTATTGTTCGCTGTAGATGGTTCAGGGGCAAAGAAAAGGAGCGTGTGATAAACGTTCAGCTGCGATAAGGCAAACAACGCTTTCCCTGTCAACACCGGACTAACTCTGCCGCAACGGCGTGACTTCAAGAGGCAGAAAAGCTTAAGGTTTATTCCGGTTTCGAACTTTAAAATATCAAAAAATTATATCGAACCAGCACCAAAAGATAGATCAGATCTGCGTGGGTATTTTGCAGATGAGCAGTCTGTAAGAGGAGATAAGTATTTGCATCAATACTATGAGTCACAGCATGAACCTGCATGTCATTCCGTATGTTCCGCTCCCTAGCTGTAATAAATTTTGCGCAGCGCTGTACCTCAGTGTTACACAGTTTAAAAGATCGATGTGGTGGGGGCCATTGGCGGCAGGGCCCGTCGGTTGCTGGCGCATAGACATACAGCGCGCAGTATGCAAACCAGTCGCTTACTGCGACATCGGCCTCTGAAACAGCCGATTGTTGTTCACTGCAATCGGTATTGCGATCGCTGCTGATGCAGCTGTTTTTGTTGAGATCTTCCACGCCACTAAGCATGGTATCGGCTACTAATGCCCGTTTGGGGTACGCACACTAGCTGCCTCTCGGTTGACTACATCCAGCGCGAGCTTATTATGGAATCACCCCAAACCAGCACAGTCCTTGACGCCTCATGCGCACTAAATCGCAGTGCATCCAAAAATCAGTAATTTCTGCGAATCTTGTGGAGCAATCCGCGATTAATAAGGCCGCCGGAGTTCGTTTCCAGCACCAAATGAGTCCCTCGGTGTTAACCCTCTTGTTAACCCCCAACAAAGGTTGGCAATTAAACCCCGGAATGTGGTTTCCCCTTTCCCAAGTCCGATTGTGAACATAGCCAATGACGAAGCTCGCTTGTTTCCGCGGAGCAACCGAAAACAGAGAATAATTGCAGCAGTCAGCAAGTCAGCAAGTCAGCTGCCGGAATATAGATACGCGAAGTAATCGAGTAACTTTCCGCACGGCTAGATGCAGCTGACTGGTCTCGACAGAGTTTCACGGTACTTGTCAGTAGTTCGCCGCCCTGTTTGTTGCACGATCGCTGCCAATGCCCGGCGTTTGATCGACACTAAACGGATCCGTCACATTGTCCTGCTCCTTCGATTCCAGCACTTTTCCGCTCGGGTACAATAGGAACGAGCACCTGTCGCCTAACTATCGCGCGACAGACATATTGTTTTTCCATTACGGACGCTAGTGATTCGCCCATTTGCAGCTTCTCCAATCAATATACCAATGCGGGGATGCAAATTGTGCGCCACATCACGCTGCCCACCTTGCCCCCAAACAACCCAAATCCTCTAAGCAAAAAGAACCCCCTGTTCACCAATCACGCTTGGCTCTTAGCTAATTTGTCTGTCAATACTGCCTGTTCTCCACAAACTCTCTTTCTTTAGCTCCAACCCCTCCTCCACGATTCGAACCTAAATCAAAACTCTCTCATCAAGCGCAAACAGCATCCAGCCGGACATACTAACACTAAGCGATCTCGCCGATCGATCATCCGCATGAACTATCGCACCAAAATATGCGTCAAATTGGCCCCGCTTTAGTAGAACTAATGCATGCGGTTATGCAGCCCACGAACCGACCTGGTTCGTGCCGTTTGGTGGTCTGAGTGGCAAACCGCCCCCTTCTCTAAATTTTGAGTTGCCGCCGATCACTTTCCCGTTGCCTTAATGGATGAGTCTACTTCTGTCAGACAGTATTAGATGGTGTTTCATGCAGCTAGCTGTTTTCTTGATACTATCAACTTCTCCAACGCACTCGGAACCCATTAATTGTATAATTGTATACTTTGCCGCTTTTACAACTAACAAGCGTGAATTCCCATCCAAGATCTGGCCTGCCCAATAGGCAGTTACGCTGCCCCCGCAGCGTAATTGGTTAACGCGTGGAACTTCTAATTAATATGGTACATTAAAGACCAGCATCCAAAAAGAACCACTATGTGGTGTACCTGAAAAGTGGCGAGTGCTCACCCATTTGCTCAAGCTCGTCGTTAGTGTATTTTGCAAGGATTTCAGCTTTGTCCATCTTCTCGCGCTTAGCGTTGATTCTCTTGAAGACAACGAGATCAATTGTGGCGGTGATCATGCCAAGTGTGGTAATACCAAGCACGAAACCATAGCCAAGATGGTAGACCGGCTTCTGACTGGCAATGAAGATGTTAGAACCAACCGCACCACCGAGGTTACCGAAACAGATGTGGGCGGCAGTAGATATAGTTCTAATCCAAGGTCTGGGCAAGTTGTTGGAGTGGAGAGCAATAACTCCAGGGAATGAAGCGTAGATACCCATAGCGATAAGGAACAATGCGAAGAATCGGGGGCCAGTTTGATGAGGTTTTGTGGCAAGCTGAATAATGATACCGATCATAGCAATACCGAACCAACCGATGACGAAGTAAGCTCGTTGTTTTAGTCGGTCAGAGAAGTAAGCAGTTACTACAGTCATGATAGAGGCTGCAATATAGACAGGCATGGTCATCAACTGAGCGATAGTGTTAGAGTAGCCGAGCTGGGTCATAATAGTGGGAACCGAGAAAGAGAATGCATAAGTGGCGACAGAGCAACCCCAGAACATGAGAGAGTTGTTCCACATTTTCCAGTCCTTGAGCGCGGTCCATAGGTACTCCCACTTGAAGCCAGAAGTACCGAATTCACCGTGTTCTTGTTTAGCGAGGGAGTCA